TTTACGTATATAAAATTAAGTTCCTCGCGTAACCTTCTTCCAAGCGTGAAATTATTATTAACGAACGTTTTCACCGTATAAGTGTTAAGAGCGAGCCCCATTTGAGGTCACATTTATTGCCTAAATAAATTAACAGGAAGCGACTAGAATAATTACGAGGTACCGTGATAATTCAGACAATTATTCGCGCAGTATTACAATCTCTACTTCTCAAATGCATTGCGCGATTACCAGATTATGGAGACCTCCGAATGGTGACACAGTCGTTGACCCGTCACGTTTGAGTTGCAAGGCGCCAAGAAGGAAGAGAGAGAGAGAGAGAGAGAGAGAGTGAGTTTGCGAAAATACCGGAGGATCGAGTGCAAGGAGCACAGTGAACGTAATAAGACTTCGCAAACATTTCGGAAGGATATTCCAAACTTCGGCGCTGTTTTCGTTGCAACGTTACCCCGTTAATCTCCCTGAAACGCTGCAACGACCCGAACGTCTTAGGAAAAGTTCTCTCGTTTTTTCTTCCTCTCCCGCTTTTCAACAAAGTCCATCCTCCGCGAACGAGCGAACGAACGAAAGAGAGGATTGCAAGGAACGCGGAACAACGCGAACAGCGAAAAACCTAACGGATGACTGTACTCGCGCTGACTCCATCGTCAGGAAGGAATTTGCATGCTCGAGTGTTCTCGAGCACGGCGCGGCGAACAGGTAAAAAATGAATGGAGCCGCGCTTTTCTTCAGTTTTCAATCACGTACGAAGTATCCACGAGCATGAGGGCGGCTTGCGCGCAGGGATTTTTCTGCATCGGTCTTCGCGGTGCCGCGCACAGCTTCATCGGAATTCTTCACGCGCGAATGCCGCGAGCGGAAACGCTCCGCCATCCGTTTGTGTCGGGCACGATTCGCGGTGACGATTCTTGCCGCGGTAATCGTGACTCTTAGCGGCTCTAAAGCGATTGCTACTCGGCGTACGGCAACGTTCGTCGTTATCTACGCAACAAATAATCAGTCCTCTTAAGCCGGGATGCCGCGAGCTTAACGAGAAAGAAAATTCTATGCGGTCGACGTTGCGAATCGATACGAAACGCAGGCGCGATCGGACGAAAGACGTTTTGGATCCCGACTGAAAGGGGCGGTGGAGTTTCGCGGAGTGTCTCTCGTAGCTGTGTTTTCTCTAGACTGACATTCGACTTTCCCGAGACTTAATTAATTTCGAGATTGCGATCTTCAATTTAAGATCTAATATAGAACTCCGTCATCAGTAATCCGAAGACAAAGATATTCACGGGGAAAAAGATTGATTGAGTTGACGTAACACTGAGAACCGATTTTTCATAATAGTTGCAAGTTTAACCTTAGATAGATGTTTTTAAATTCTGTTCAAACGCCAGTGTATCAAAGTGACCCCGTTACTTTGGTACATCAATGTAGTTGCGCGTGATCTGGTTGTAGCAATCAGAAATCGGTTGGAGTGACATTTACCACGGATACACTCTGATTGCAGCAACCCGACAGTGTCGCCACGCTGTAACTGCTGTAACGTCAATAACTCATGCTGAGAAAAAAATACTTGAAAATTTATTTTCGGGATACAAAGTTTATTTCATAAAAATAAACTTTATATGCCACGAATAAATATTTTTAAGTATTTTTTTCTCAGTGCAGCAATTGCTGTACGGTTGCAACAAACATGTAATTGTTGCAACAAACATATAATTAGTTGTTCCGTATTTTATTGAATTTCGTATTACTATTGAATCTGGTTAGCACAATCAGATTTATGTATAGGCCAATCTATATTGTTTTTTCCAAGATATTATTGAAAAATACACTCTGAATAAACCAAATGCATTTTGGTTGAAGGAATTTCTGATATTTATGAGCCAAATTCTAATAACCAGAAATTATATTTGTTCTAATTTGTTCTGGTTCGAGGAATCAGAAATTGTCCCTAAAAACAACCCCTTCAAGATTCATCAAGATTAACGACATCGATAATTAACGAAAAGCGCATGTATATATGTATCTATCTATGGGACGCCCTCAAAGTCGTATCGTACTTCCTCTGTCGCAAAATTAGCGTTGCGGTAATAAGTAACCACTATGGCCACTGATCCCGATCGCCTAGTTGCTTTTGAACGTGGCAACGAAAACGTCTTCGTTTATACCGCGTTGTGACCCGTCTCCATTACGAATCCATTGAGAGGGCAGAGGCCACTCAAGGCAATCGACTCCGCACAGTGGACCGTAAGCGGAGACAGAGGAAGAGACGGGCTCCTCCGCGCCGCGCCACGCCGTGGCGAGGTGAGGCGAGGCGCCTGGGGTGGCCCAACCGGAATTGCAACGCGGTTTGCCCGCGCGCCGAGATGTTAGCTTTTCGTCAAAGGGTCCTATTAGTATGCGGTTAGTATTACGGCACGGTGTATCAGGATATACGTTGAGGCGGAACGGCGCTATCTATTACCGATTCTCTGGCACGTGAACTACCGACCCCTTCGTCGTCTCCATCCCGCGGGCCATTCTACCCCCGAGCCTTGCTCACCTCTTCTCGCCCTTCTAACACACACCGATCGCGCGCACGTGCACACCGCGCACGTGTGTTTGTATGCACTTCTCGACTTCCTACATAGTAGATCGCTTTGTAGGTACGTTCGATAGAATCGAGAACGTCGGGATCAGTCAATAAGACGATTAGCCCGCGCTCCTGGCACGACCCTTAACGTTAACTGGAAATCGCAGTGCGCGCATTCCGCCGTGATCTACCGTAAGAGATCGGCGGCGTGTCTGTTGCACGGCAGGATATTTGGAATACTTGGCGGGGTAGAACGGCGTTTACGACGGCGAGCACGAGCAGGTCTCGCGTGCCCTGAGACCCGCATATCGGAGTTGATGTATCTCTTTCCAGCGCTCCGTCCACCGGAGCAGTCTCGTCACTAATCAGATCGCAACTTCGAATAAAATGAGCCGTTTTTATCGTGTGCATGTGATTCGGTAATCCATCACGATCGAACTGCACGTTGAACGACAGTCATTTTCCCGCTGTCTCTGGCTTCGAGAGAATATCCGAAAATAACAGTTCCAATTATGGGTCGAGTCCCAATCTCAGATCAAATTTGACTTATTAATGTATCCAAAAAGTACGCACATAGTGAAAACATGGAAAAAGTTTTTTATATTTCTTAGTTTCTTTTACTGTGACACTCTAAAGTTACATCCACAAACATTCTTAATATTTCAGAAAATATCTAGGATATCAATTGCTTTATCGAATTTGAGACAAATTTTGCATAGTTACTTTCTAGGACTCAACAAAAAAATATAGGCTACATGAAATCTGAACACCCCACCCCCTCTCCTTAACTTCATCCTTTTGACACTTTGTAATAATTTAAGTTTAAACGTTCTAGATATAAGAAGCCCGGGTAATACTAGGTAATGCCAGTTTAAGCTAGTTAATTATACAGAAAAGTGTCACTGGTTTCTCGACAAAACAGCGCGTCAATGAATAATAATGATTTTTTCATCTTTCCCCTTTCGAGGCCAGAAAATGCCATCTTCTCGTGGCTCATTACGTCATTGATATTTTAATTGCATTAATTTTACGGGCGAATTGACTTCTTTCTGCTATTCATTTCCAATTGTTTGTGCAAACTTCTATTTGTAACAAGATACGATTCGCAACGGCAAACACACGGCGAATCAATTAAAGCGTTAACGAGAGGACTAAACGCGTTCCGCTGTCATCCTCTTTATCTCCCCCGTCTCATTTGTCTCTTTGTAGTGCCCGCGAGGTAATACCCTCGCGTGATTTCGAGCATGCACGCGTATACTATCGCATCCCGGAAGCGGACCGTCACGTACGAATGGGCCGTCCAACGGCCGTAATTGCTAGTCAATTAAATGCCGCCGCATGCTGTAAAACATACTTTGATCTCATGTTTCGCTCATGATAGCCCGCGCGATGATGAAAAAAAATCGAGAAAAAACTGCGTGATCGTTTGGAGCGGACAACGTGCCCCGCGCTCGTGGAAACCGCGCGCGCCGCCGCAGAAACCTACCACTAACGACATAATAATTTCGCAATTTTGCGACGCAGAACCCCGCTGGCCCGTTAAACCACGCGGTATAATGCTACCTTTGACAATCGGTACATAATTCGGGATGTCGCCCGTGGGGAAATCATATTTCGGACGCGTAAAACGAAATAATCTTTGCTTGTTTGTCATCGTGTATGTTGCCAAATATTATTTAAAAAAAATATATATATATAAAAACTCGAATCTTTCCGATTTTAATCGAACTCGCGAGCTGTTTTTTTAACATTGTTACATTGTAACTCGAGGACACACGCGTTACTAGCACGAGAGAGAGAGAGAGAGAGAGAGAGAGAGAGAGAGAGAGAGAGAGAGAGAGATCGGGGTGATTATAAATTGAGGCGGTCATCTCTTTTTCCTTTTCACATTGTGAAATATGTAATTCTCCCGGGCACTAAAATAACATGCACTGCGGGCGACTCGATATTGCGTAAATGCTATTTTACGCGTTACACAAACCGCGTTAAACTCAAGCGAGAAGCCAAATCGTTCGCTCGCTCACTCGCTCACGTGTCCGCCGCTGTAATACGTATTACATACTAATTAAATGGAAATTAACTCCTCAAACACTAGTAAATTCATTATCGGTGCGTAATAGTATCGAAATGCTCGCGGGATGATACTCCATTTCAGGTATCAAAGGAAGTATTAAATCCCGACAACCGGTCACTCTATTACGTTTAACATCGATACTCGTCATTTTGACGCGCGGCCGTGAGTATATCGATCGGCTGTTTGTCCGGAAATCGTCGCTGCGCCGCGGGGCGAGGACGAACGAAAACAGGGAAAATGAGGGCGGGAAAAGCGCGAAGACTCCTCCACCTCTGCTGCCGCCGCTTTTGGCGGTCGGCCAAAAGCGACGCGCCGTCCCTTTAATTGTTAGCATATTTTAACCGTAATTTTCCTCTGTTCCAGTTGTCTGAGCCCGAGATCCGCGTTCTTCTACGAGTTCCCGCCTAACGGTAAGTCGCCAAGGTTGTGCATGGCCTTCGTAGTTTCATTTGTCTCTTTCCCCGCTTGATTTAAGATTTAAGAGGTGCGGGGTGAAAATTTTAACCCGAAGATTCCTTACATTTAAGAGTGGAGCGAATTCGCGAGTTGCTGATCCACGAACATGTTCAACTGACGCGTTATTAAACCTTTGTATTGGAATCACGCTTTCCGGACGTTCTACTGTTTACGAGCCAAAATAATTCACAGCATGTTTAAAAGTCTGTTCTTTTCAGCTGAATTAATGCTGCACTGTAACTTTGTTCTGCGTTTCCCTTCAACACTAGATTATATACTCGTTTCACTCTAAAGGCAAAAAGCGCAATCTAGTTCAACTAAAAGTACAGACTTTGAAACACATAATTTAATATATGCAATTATTTTTTTTTCCGACTTATACAAACTTATGGGGTAAACAAACCTTATTATTGACACTCTCCTTAGTCATTGACACTCTAGAAAACATCTGGTTTTTCTTGTGATGCATTTGTTATTTTTCATTATTTATTTATTATTATTATTTATTTACTAAATATCTATTTGCACGAACATCTAGCATTAGCTCTTATTGTCCCTATATTTCTTAATTATTATTTATTATTTATTTATTATTTATTATTTTTTATTAGTTTTAATTATAGATATTTAGTAGATAACTTCACTCTAAAACTGTGAAAAGTAAATGTCACTGAAGAAAAAGCCAAATTTTTCTAGACTGTCAATGACTAAGGAGGATGGCAATAATAGGTTGGCTTATCCTAACCATAACCTGTGAAAGCATCAGTTAAACATTAAGGGGTTAAAACATATTGTACTCAGTGTATCTTGACTGTATCTTTATCCGATGATTACCGCAAAACGATTTAAATGTAATTGACTGCGTAACGTCAAAATGATTAGCACATGACGTTTTCCAAAGGAGAATTTGGCACGCCAATTTCGACTTTTCACCGCGCTGTGCAACACGAATTCACGATCCACGACAGACAACGGCCGCTGTTGAACAGAGGGCCTTTTCGATTACGTTCTTCCGCTTGATTTACCGATACTCGCGGCGTACAAATCGCACGCCGCTCGCGGCGGTAACTTCATGAGAGATAGAGCAAACTGCGCGCCCGTGGTGGCTCGTACCAAAAGGGGAACGAGCCCGCATCAGATTTGAATGCGGGAGATCATTTAATGTGCATCGATTGTAGGGCTTTGCATGATGCATATATTCCACGCGGTATGCGACCGAGCGTATGCATACGCGGCGCGGACGCGATTTCCAAGAGGCGAAGCGTCGTTCCTTCGTGCGCGCACCTCCCGATGAAATATATCTAAATGGCCTAACAATGGGGCGACCGCAAACGATTCTCTCCTTCCTATCTCCCGACAGCGCTGCAATGCGCATCGTTATGTGGGAATGCTGGCGCGAGGAGTGGAATCGCGCCACGCGTCTTCGCGACCGGCTCGCCGCGTTCCGGCGACCAGCAGCAGCTGCAGCTGCAGATCGCGCCGAACAACATTGTTGTCTCGCGTCTCATCTGTTATACAAAACGCGGATAATGCCGATCAAAGAGCGAGCGAGTGAGCATGCGCGCCGCTTGTAATCTCATATTCAAGTTCGGCCGGGAGAAGAATGACGGAGGTCCCACCGATAGCTTGACTCCGTAGTTGGTCGTAGCTCTTAAGCCTCTTAGCATCGCCGAGAATGATAAAGTTATTTGCGGATCTACTTACAGCGACGAAAAAGGTTGAGAGAAGATCCCTCGCGCGCAAATCGGATATTTGCGCGAAGAAGCGATGGAAACTCTGTCGATTGAGAACGAAGGCAAGCGAACGGCGCGAAGCAGTCTCGACGACGCACTGTATATTTATTCGAACCGCGCGAGCCGCTCCTAGTCTGCATTATTTTTATTCACCAGCTTTTTTATTTTATTTTCTTCACCACTTACCACGCTGTTCGAATAATTAGAATAAAGTCTCCGATATTAGAATAAAATGTTAAGTCGGTTGAAATTGTTTCAACTTCGAAACGAAGAAAATGAAATCTGTGCGTAAGAAATATAGGCCGAGACTCCCAATTATTGGACATTCCCTTAGTCATTGACACTTCAGAAGAAAAACCTAGTTTCTCATGCGACCAGCATTGCAACTTCTCGCCTGCATTCGATTCTAAAAAAACACTTCACAACACTGAAACTGTAAACAATTGCGAGAAGAACCAGGTCTTTCTAAAGTGCCAATGACTAAGGAGGATCAATAATTAGTAGGTATTTTACTCTACTTGCTTCTGTCAAGATCCTTTAAGATTATCTAATGCCCGTTTCTGCCAACATTAATTCAATCTTAATCTAAATTTTAAATTTTCGTCTGAAGAGAGTTTAAACTCGTGTTAAGGTTTAATCGATGTTAGAAACAAGCACAAGAGCCCTTCTAGGATATCCGAAGTTTAACTATGATATCGTTCCTTCCTCCAGTCATATACTCGATTATCGAAAAGTGCTCACGCAGTTGTGTTCAATATACCACCGTTTGAATATATCCGCGATAAACATGTAACACACATACGGCGAAAATATTGTAGTAAAAATAACATTAAAATTACATGTCTTTTTACAATACTTTTGCATAAAACTAGTACTCCAGGGGCTGTTGTCACCCGAAAAGAGAAAGAGGAACATTTACTGAAAATAAATTATTATAAAAATAATAAAATTGACGTCCTACACGAATATACGATATAAATAAAACATTTGACTAATTACAATAATTTGTAGTAAAAAGTCATTCATTTAAAACCATCTAATAATTTGTAGAGAGAGAGAGAGAGTCAAAAGTTAAAATAACAAATCTTAAACAGATATATGGGAATTTCGATCACATAATTTTCTGTGGTGATGAATCTAAGATTAGAAATATTTTGTGGTAATTTTTGCTACAATATTTTCTCCGTGTACATTACACCGTAATATTGCGAACGATTCACGCATAGCCGCGTGTGTCTATTATGTAGTCGCAAATTTTCGGCACGAGTATTTATTGCCATCTGATACCACGATCTCCCGCGTACATCGTATCGCGTGTAAGAAATATACGAAGCTACGATTGCATTTCTTCGTCCGCGCGGCGTTCGGGGGGTCCACCGCCGATTTTCGACCGGTGAGATACGCGCTCGAGAAGGTAGTTATATTACCGGCGCACATGCAATCGGCCCCGTGCGCCCAGCGGTGAAGAAATAAAACCGAGACGAAGGGGGGGGGGAGAGAGGGCGTGTGCCACGGCGCGGTGGAATTTTTCGAGATATCGAAAAACACTTTAGATCTCTCCCGTATTGGAAAGGCGGCCCCGGCGATGAAGAAGGGGAGCGGCGGCGGAGGCGCGACCGACGGGGGGCCTAGCGTTGATATTTCATTTCTATTGACTTCTACCGCCACCCTCGCGCACGTCCTACCCTTTCCAGCTATGAATACATAATTGAGATCGAGCTCTCTCTCTGCATACCTTTCGATAACGCGTGTGTATAGATATACACATCTCTCTAACGCCGAGTCGTCGTCTACCTCCGTCTGCTTTCTCTTTTTCACGGGCAACGTTCCGATGGTCTACTTCATTTAGAATACAGTCATTACATCTAGTGAACAAATCATGTTTTAATCTGATAGTAAATTTGTCTTATGCCGTGGTCCAGTTTAATTCTCGAATCCTTCTTTGTCTAAGACAGAATCAGAAAATTTACCGACTATAGTTTAAATATTAGGGGCTTGCAGAAATTCGTCAGATCGTCTACTTCATCTGGTTAAGGGATGAGTTATTTTACAGACGTCAATTCAGGCAATTATCTGAAAGATCGCACAAAGCGATGGATAATGATGACAGATATTTTCATTGAACATAGCACGTACTCTGTTTCATAACTATTATAAAAAGTTTAATGAACTTTTGCGAGCTCCCATGTGTGACGAGAAGGTGCGGCTTTTTCCATTATTTCGTGAAAATGTACGGAATGTAATTTTACGCACACGCATCATTTCCATCATTTTCTCGTGACTCGTTTGCCGAGCTTATTATTTTCGAAAAATCTCACTTTTTATAATCTTTTTATATCTTAATTTTCTTATTACATAGTACATATATCCTAGTATGGTGTATGTGTATCTCGCAGAGTGCATCCGCGTATTCTTTATTTTATTCGATGGAGGAGTGCTCGCGCACTGTACCCTAGACGAGAATATTCGCGCGAAACGTCGATATCACTCAACAGTCTCAGCGCCACTCTCGCTGTAAAATGTTTCGAGTCATAAAAATACTCCGCATTCGTACGGCGGAGAGGGAACAGGCGGACGATGGGCGGCAAGTAAAAGGAAAGAATCTGCATCGCGCGATGCATGAGGGGACGAATTTGATGTAGTGCTACGACCCCGGTTACTCGCCCAAATTCCAAGATTCCTCCCAATCGACGTGCTCAGGCTCAACGGCGAGAGTCGTTGACACCTCTCAACCGTCTTCCGGCGTTCCTGACCAACGACGAGATCCGGGGGACCCACCCTCGTGAAATTCTCGATTCCGTTTCCCCCTCACGGCGCGTACCGTACCGTGCCGTTGCCGTGCCGCGTGGTAGAGATACTCCGCTGAATCGCGGCGACTAATCAGTTTAGGGCGGAAACGCGCGAAGCGGCGCGCGCTTAACAGTAATTCCGTGTAAGAGGCGTCGATGCCGGATTGCTGCAGCACTTAGCAGTTGTCGCGTACTACACAACTGCCGGTATATACTCGGTTGGGGGACCGAGCGAGCCAGCCAAGCCCAAACCCCCGAGTGTGTAGGGGTTGCCGGGATACGCAAACACCCTCGCTCGCGCAGGTTGTGCTTGCTTGGCGAAACACACGGACTGTGAGAGAGCAAGCCTGTTTGTATGGACTGGAATCCAAGTAAGAGGTGGGCGTTGGTGGTGGTGGCGGCGGCGGCAGTAGTGGCGGCGGCGGCAGTAGT